ATAAGAAAAATTTTAGTACAAGCACAGTGCAAATGGCTGCTCACTCTCAGTGTCCATGAGACGGTTGGGATTGGTAGGCGTGGGGAGCTGGGAGTGTAGGATTTGGGTCTGATCTAAAGCAGCAGCACCATTAATTAATGCCAGCAGCTATGGCCATGTGGGAATGTGCATGCAGAGTTGCTCCCACTGTCTGTTCCAAGAGAAATGGCATTATGGATGTTTATGTCAACTTTCCGATTTTTAAATGTCAAATGAAAAATTTTAAAAGATTGTGCAAGTCAGATAAAAATTCCCCATGATCTATATAATCTGAGATTTCTTCCTAAAACACACCAATTAGTAAAGGTATGTAAACGACCGATCTCAGGGCTTTATTTGCTTAAATAGTACAAACCTCCGGGATCAGCAAACTTTTACTTAAGTGGGTAGATGGCAAATAGTTTAGGCTTTGCGAGGCTGTCGAGTCTGGCATGATTACAAAGCTACTCAGCTGCCCTATGTTGTAGTGTGAAAGTCGCCACAGACAGTATGCAGATGAATGGATGTAAATGAATTTGTGTTCCAATAAAACTTTATTTACACAGTCTTGTGGCCTACCCCCTAACCCCTTGATGTAGGTGAATCAGAGGGCAGGGGCATCTGAAGGGAGTTTCAGACAATCATGAAAAATAATTCTAAAGGGTTGGTGCACGAGAGGGGACTGGTTAAATAAAATATAGTGTGTCTGTAAAAAGAAAATACGAGTGGCTACTAAAAGAAGGATGAGAGGGATCAATTTGTATGGTGGCGGATAGCATTTTTCAAAGATAGTGGCACTTTGATACTCCTCCCATAAGACAGGACCTGGACCCTCTGCCTTTGGAATTGCATGTCCTTTGGCGATTCTTGTGCCCGGTAGAGTAGGGTGGAGTGATGCTCGGTGACTTCCAAGGTTAGGGCATAAAAACAGATAAAGCTTCCACCTAGATGTCTCGCGAAGTCTCTGGCTTCCACGTCATCGGTCTGACCAATGTGTGAGGTCCATGCTATGAGTCAGCCTGAACTTGACCTTGTGGAAGGAGCAGATGGAAGGGCCCTGGGGCAACATGAGATAGAGATACCGGCCAGCTCCGGGGCCAGTCACCTCCTGACTGGCTCCCCCTGGCCAAGCCAAGCCTTTCTAGAATTCCTGCCCACAGAAACCACAAGAGAAAGTGTCATGATTGCTGTTGCTAAACCACGAAGTTTTAGAGTGGTTTGTTACACAGCAGCATTGGGTACTTGGAAGACGCACAGATACACACACTGTATCGTTAGGTGAAATTAAAGCAAATCAATACAACATATACTTAGGGAAGGACAGACCAAAAACTGTTCATTTAACTGCTGTCTCTAGGGAACAGAACTGTAGATCCAGAGCAGGAGGGATACCACTGTGTTTCTTTTTATTTTGGGCATAATTTGAAGTTTTCACCACATGCATATGTTACTTGATACTTTTTAAAACACTGGTTTACATTTTAAATAAAGTGAAGATTGAGAGTTAAAATTTTCTGAGTTCATAGGATCTTCCTTCCTTCTTTTTTTTTTTTTTTTTTTTTTTTTAAGCATGGGCTCCTTTTTACCCAATGCATCTATAGAACTCAGAGTTGTGAGCAATGGTATCTTAGACCCTTCACAAATTCACATATGTAAGAACATGAAGACATTGGAGATAAAGGAATATGTCAAAACATAGATAATTTAGGAAGAAAATCTATTTCCAGGGAAACGTAAGTGAAAGTAAAACACTGTGTCTCCATTTATGCTTTATTTTAGGGTTCCATTTTGGAAAGATGAGGAGATACAAATTTTAGTTAAAAAAACCCAACAGGTTATTGTGTTCTTAAGACCATTATCATTACCACTTTCCCCAGTCTACTCCCATTGTCTTTACTGAAATTTGCTATATGTGTGTGTATGTGTATATAAATATATATATATTTTTAAAGATTTATTTATTTTAGAGTGAGAGAGTGTGAGCCCATGTGCAAGTGGGGGGAGGGGCAGAAGGAGAGAGAATCTTAAGCAGGTTCCACCCTCAACAGAGCCTGATGCAGAGCTCAATCCTACAAACTTGGGATTATGACCTGAGTGGAAATCAAGAGTCAGATGCTTAACCAGCTGAGCTACCCAAGCGCCCTGAAATGTAGTATATATTTTTAACAAGATCATTTAACAGAAGCGTTTGGCTAAACCACATCTAGAATCTCTTTGTAATCCAGGTCACTTCTGGAGAGATGGATATTGTCCTAAGGAGGAAAGATTTTCTTGGAGACTATTTACAATCAAGTATTTCTAAATTCCAAAATAGTTTCCTAAAACTCAGTTTTATTACTTACTTTCAGTTTTGCCTTAGAGTCTTGGATCTCAGACATGGACGTATTTTTTCAAGCCCTCTTAACTTAGAGACGAAGAAATATAAAGAGGTCCACCTCCTCGTGTTACTTCAAAACAGTGGTTTTGAAGGACTTGAGCATCAGGATTTCTGGCCCCATTCCCTGTGTTTCTAATTCTGCAAGTTTGGAATGGATTTTGAAATTCTGCGTTTTTAATAAGTTTCCAGGTGATGCTAATGGGCCCTAACTTGAGAACCACTGCTTTGACGTAATTCCTTCTCAGACCAAATCGGAGAACTTCTTTTCCTCTTGCAGGTGAAAAATCTTTCAAATATGTTTGGATTTGTTTTCTTCTTCATCATCACTTCACTGAACCTATATGCTTATCTTTTCCCAACTTTCCAAGAAATATACACATTCTCTTGACATTTTTCCTGAACCTGTTGCCATTTGTTTCTATCCTTTTGAGTCACCAAGACCAGAAGTTCAGCCACAAAGATGAATGATCCTGGCACTCGCCCTTTCTGGTCTTGCCCATGTGGACTCTGCTCCACGCAGCTCTCCGTCTTGCAACTATTTGTGCATGTTCTCAGATGTGCTTTGTGCTGAAGGGGGCTCAGTCCTACCTCTCTAACATATCCTATAAGGTATCTGTCCAGCTTTTGGTGGTTTGCTGTGAAAGAGAAGATTTGACGCAAACATTTAAATATGTCTAAGTAGAACAATGCATTGTGAAACTCTCTTGAAATGGGGTTAAGATTCCCTCTGGATGTCACAGGAGCAGTATGCCTTGATATCAACAGGTCATCATCTTATATTTATTTTGAAAACCAGCTTAAGGCTGGAAAGAAATCTAGAGAGCAGATGAAGGTCAAAATAAACATGCACTGGGTAGGACAATGCCAGTAGGGGAAAGTCAAATCCAGCAGAGTAACCTGGTTCCATTCAGCATTTATTGAGAGCCTGCTGCATGCTGGAGAGCATGCGGGTTTGAGTACACAGAGATAGAAAGACATATCCACAGAGGCAGCCTATCATCATGATGGTGAGTGTGGACTCTGGAGCAGGTGGGATTGAATTTAAGTCCCCCTCTCCATTGATGCTGATGGGCCTATATGTAAACTTGCAAGCTTGACTCCTTCTCATGTATGAAATGAAGTAAAAAACACCTACATTGTATGTGTGTCCAAGTCTCTAATGAGATAATGCCTTGTCTTGGTCTCTTTGGGCCACCATAACAAAATACTGTAGACTGGTATTAAACAACAGAAATTAATTTCCTCGTTCTGGTAGCTGGGCTGTACAAGATCAGTATCTGGCAGGATTCATATTCTGGTGCTGACTTTTGTCTAGCTTTTGGTGGTTTGCTGTAAAAGGCAAGATTTGACTCAAACATTTAAATATGCTTGTGGATGACCACATTCTCATCCACATGGCCTTTCCTCCATGTACGCATGGGGAGCAAGAGCAAGCTCTCTTGTGTCTCCTCTTATGGGGCACTGACCTCATCATGACGGCCCTTGTACCTTATCTAACCCTACTCACCTCCAAGCGCCCCACGCCCAAGTACCATCACATTGGGGGTTAGGGCTTTACTGCATGAGTTTGTTGCAGGGGGAGGGGGGCACGGACATTCATTCCCAGCCTGTAAAGTAGTTCAGCCAGTTCTTGGAGTTAAAGAACCACTGTGCTGACTTTCCTTCTTAATGCTTCCTTCCTTCCTTAAGCTTCTGCTGCCAGCTGTCATGGGATGGAGCACTAGAAAGCTAGAAATACATACACTGAAAAGTTTTAACCAGCTTTTAAATCTTTTTTTTTAAGATTTTATTTTATTTTTTTAAAGATTTTATTTATCGAGAGAGAGAGAGAGAGACAGAGACAGAGACACAAGCAGAGGGAGAAGCAGGCTCCCTGTGGGGAGTCCGATGCAGGACTTGATCTCAGGACCCTGGGATCATGCTCTGAGCCAAAGGCAGATGCTCAACCGCTGAGCCACCCAGGTGTTACCCAGCTTTTAAATCTACTCCATGTAGTGATTGCTCTTATCAGAGGCTTTGGAGATAAATTTAATGAAAATAGACTTTCCTTTTTCTGGGTTCTAATGCCCCACATACTGTATTGAGCTCAGTATTGATTCCTACTTTACAGTAATGTGACCGTAGTGATGGTGGGAAAACCTCAGAATCCAGTCTCTAAGGGGATATTGAATGTAATTTGAAAATATGAGAGTTTCTTTAGGTATGCTCTGATGTTTTCATCAATTCAGGATCCTGTAAATATGATCTAAAAGTTTATCACAGGAAAGAATTACATACTTCACTTCTAAAATCCCAGTACTTCATTAAACTACTTAAGCGGTGTGTGTTCTCTGCCAAATGGGAAATCTTCACTGCGTTCATTTGTTAGGTTGAAAAATGTGCTTCTGTCTCACCAACTGGTTGCCCAACCACAGTTGTTTTATGAGTAGAGAGAGTGGTAAGTGGAAAGTCAGGACAAGACAAAGAAAGCAGAAAGGACTCCCATGCTAAGGGCTCCCAAATTGGAGATTATTTCTTTGTGGGAAACAGACTCACACCTACCCCAGAATGGTTAATTCGCATTTTCACAGGTTGCGGAAAGTAGCACGTGTTTTCATTCCAACAGAAAACCAAACCCTTGATGACAGAATTTTCGGTGAAGTCCACCATCATTTCTCGTTACGCCTTCACCACAGTCTCCTGTAGGCTGCTGAATAGAGCTTCCGAGGACCAGGAAATTGAGTTCCAGATGCAGATTCCAGCTGCAGCTTTCATCACCAACTTCACTATGTAAGCGACACTTTGGTCAGAGACCCTGGAATGAAGATGTCTGTGTGGGGTAGCCAGGGCGAGCCTGAGAGGATGTGAGCTCCACAGCCTTCAGGCATGAAGATTTATCTCAGCAGGTGGCATGTGGCTCACAAGGGTGACTCTCTGCCTTCCTCCTTCTCTAACTTCCTTCTTCCCTTTCTCTCTCCCTTCCATCCTTTCTTCCTCCTTCTCTCCTTTCCACCATCTCTTTAATTCTGTTCCTGTCTTCTTCCTGCCTTCCATTCCCCTTCTTGTATTCTTTCTTTCTCTCCTTCCAACAAACGAGTGCCCACTCTGGGTCAGGAACTCTTTGAAGCGACCAGGATACTTCTATGAAAAAGACGGTGTCGCTCTGCTGCAGAAATTGCAGTAGGTAAGCAAATCAATAGATGAGGTCATTTCAGACCATAGCAAGCGCTTTAAGATGGATGGAGAGGGGCTTGTCTAGGCAGGGAGGAATCGGGGAGGTGACTCAGAAGAGGCAGTGCTTAAGATGAGACCTGAATGATGAGATAGTGTGATCCCTCTGATATATAAAGTTAACCATATTTCTTCTTTTCTTCTGAACTAGGAGGCAAAGACATAGAAAGTAGGGTGGATTTTTTGGGTTTCATTTTGGGTGTGGGCAAAATTCGAGCTGGTGAATCTTCAAGGAAATTTGAGCAGATCGTATTTCCTCCTGGAACAATGAGAGGCACGATGGGTCAACCCTGACGATTTGAACCTGTTGAAAATTGCCCTAGAATGAAATGAATGATTCAAGAGTAGTGCCTTGGTCTGGAATGCATTCTTTCTGCATATCCAAGAGTCGCATAAAAATATTTTCTAGGGTTGTCATGGTTATGAGATCCATGTCTGAATTTGTCTTGGAACTGCAAGCCAGTAACATGGCTGTCTCTTGTGTTTCAGGCTCCTTGGAGACCAGGTGTTTCAGGGAGAAATTACAGAGAGAGAAAAGAAAAATGGTGATAAGGTAAAAGAGAAAAGAAATAAAACCTCAGAATATAATGGGTAAGTGCCATCTAATTAAGGAATTAAAAATCCACTTCAACTTGGAAGGCAACCATTTAGAAACATCTAGAACATTTTGACACAGTGATTTTACATGTGTTGAATCCAGTAATGAAAAAAATTGAACTTAAAAAAAATCCATTTCAGCAACATGTCACATATTCTGCTCCTGTGCCCACCCATCTTGCTCTCTTCCCTTCCTTTAAGTATTTATCTGCTTTTTTATTTTTAGCAGGCAGTAAATAATTAAATATATATAGGTAACAATATAGCAGGAAAGGGTTTATAATAAAAAGGAACATCTTACCACTACCACTACCCAGGTCTCACTTCCTAGAAGCATCCACTTCTGATACTTCTGTAGCTGTGTGTGGGTTTTTTGTTTTGTTTTGTTTTTGTATGACCTCTCTAACTCTAAAGTTTATGGTAGTCTTGTTTTTTTTTTAATTTCTTGATAGAAATCAGACATTATCTGTTGATTCTCTGCTGTGAAGGAAGAGGGTTTAGCATATATGCAACACTGCCACCCTCCCTCTGAGTTCCACATTTTTCCATTCTTATCTCTTCTTCCATCATTGTAAACCATGTTACATTATCTTAGCCTAGCCCTACTATCTTAAATGATAATCCCCTCTCCTTCATTGACACCTTACCTTTCCTTTCCCATTTCCACTGCTCGTCCGTTTTTACCTGATTATTTGCTTCTGCACTGTCAGAGTTGCCAACATTTAAATTTTGATCTGTAATGATATGTTTCTTTATTTTGTCCATAACGTGAATCTAAACATTGAAAACAAATAACTAGTATTTGGTTTTTAATGATTACATAAATGGCATTAACTGCAGAGTCACTTGGTATCCTAAGATTCTACTTCCCTCTCTGCCAGCCCACTTGAAGAAAAGTGATGTGTTCCCCTTGAAGAAAAATAATCTTGGTATCCAGATAAGGTGGTGTGAACATGGGAACCTGTTTTTGTTCATTAATAAAAGGATGTAGTTTTGAGAAAGCTTGTTCTCTAACATCATAGACGTCAGAAATTTTGCTGTTGGATATCCTATTAGCGAGAATGGAACATCTTACTCTTGCCTGGAAGATGTGAGTCATGGGTTTACTTTGATACAAAAAGCAGCCAAGGTCCACAGCTTCAGATAAGGCATCGTTGGACACAAAAGTCCACATTTATCTTAGCTTTGTAATTCCTAAGGACAGAAAACCTCAAGTTTGCTTCTCAGTCGAGGGTGATACTAACACTTTACACATAGCCCTGCTTTTTCTCGAGCCTCCAAACATTGCTTCATTTAACCTTATCTACACGCCACTTTTCCTCTAATCCTGTGATATTACCTTGTGTCTGCCTTTGGTGAAATTCTCCATGATGCGTTTGGCATGTAGTCTCCCTTACTGCAGCAATTTACTAAAACCTAACTTTGTTGGTGGATCTCAAGTGGTCTTTATCATATGAGTTTTATGAAGAATATCTTTCATCATAGTTCATAAACTGTTCATAATCATGCCACAGTTTAGTTGGATTACAACATAAGCATTTCTATGTTTCCTGGAGTTTTAAATTGTCTTTCTTTTTTCTTATGACATAAAATTTAATTTTGTCACTGTTAACACCATTTTGAAATGGTGTCTAAATGAATAGTTATGACTGAGTTTCTGCAAACAATGACATCCATGTTATTGCCAACAGCAGTTGGAAGGGATCACTGATAGGGAGGCACAGCCTGATTTCAGGGCTGTCAATCACGGAAGAATGGTGTGTCCAGGTCCATGGAATACTGCCATTGCTTTGCAGCCTTGTCAGTAATGTTTACCCTGGGATTTCTCTTCATTTTCTTCTGGGTTGCTTTTATTACTCCTTGTATTCCGTGTTTTTCACTTTTACTTTGCTGGAAGTAACTTCCCCAAGATGGATGTGTGAGAGGCAAACTTTCGAAGACCTTGAGTAATATTTTGACTGTATATGGAATTTAAGATTGAGAATAATTTGTCATCCCCATTGTAAAGACATTTCCCTCAGTGTCTTATAACATCTGGCATTGCTGATGATGCATCTAATGTGGTCTAATACCAATCCTTTTCTGTGTTTCCTCTAATTGATGTCCTGAGAGTTGATGATAATTCATTTCGGTGTCAGTCTTTTTTCGGTCATTTTTTCCATTCTCAGTGAAGCTTTTCCATCTTAATATTTGCGGGTTTTTTTTTTTTTGTTTTGTTTTTTAGCTCTGAGAAAGAGGAGTGTAGGAAGCCTGTCATCTTAGTCACTCATTCATATATGGGCTTGGAGCTCTCCTTCCTGTATTTGGTGTCCTTCCCACTCACATCAAATGCTGAGCCAGACCCTGCCATCTCTCTGACATTCTGTAGATGGTTTGCACCTTGATCCTTTGCTGCAGCTCTTTCCGACATAGTCGGACCTACTGAATTCTGCATCTTCCAAAAATGTCTTTAAGTGCCGTACCCACTGATGCTTGCCCCTACCACTCATCCCTTTGCTTTAATCCTTTACTATTCTTTTTATGGGCAGTCTGCCATCTTTAATCAGAGAACCTTCACTCCAAGCACTGAGAACATTTGGAATGGTTTGTATTTTGATATGCTGTGCGATCCTTTATTCTTTACTTGTACCCCTAGCCACATTCACGAAACTTTACCAAGTGTAAAAACCTAATGGATTAGCTATTTTAAAGTGACAGCAGATGTCAGGCTCCTTTGGCCATTCCTGTAAGGAGAAGAATGCAATTCATGCCTTGAGCCCAAAGCTCTCATTTCCAGGAGTTCACTTATTTCAATATGCCCTTTCCCTTTTGCCCCCGCAGGCCTGACTCAGGGAGAGGCAGGGAAGTTCAGCAGCCTTTGAATTTTGTCCTCTTCAGTACCTTGAACCTTTATAACAACCTTCTTCTAGTGCATGGCTTTGCTTCTCTTCCCAAGACTAGCCCATAGTTTTTCTCCTAAGGACCCTCTTGAGAAAGTGGCCAGTGCTCTGAGGGGATTAAGGGAACCTGGCTCTCTCTGAACTGACCCCTGTGCTCCCTTTTCTCGCCCTTACAGGGAGAAGGGGACGGAAATGTTCAGAGCCTCTGTGGTCATTCCCAGCAAGGACAAAGCTGCCTTCTTCCTCAGTTATGAAGAGCTCTTACAGAGGCGGCTGGGGAAGTATGAGCATGTCATCAGTGTACGGCCCCAGCAGCTGGTGGGGAGGCTGATGGTGGAAGTGAACATTCTGGAGAGATCAGGCCTTGAGTCTCTGGAGGTGCTGCCCTTACAGCACAGCAGGCAGAAGGGCAGCGGGAGAGGGGAAGGTGAGTGCAATTGCTGGATCTTCTAACTCAGAGCTGGGTGTTGACTTTAGAGAGATCTATAAAACAGATGGCACCCCTTCAACAAAGGCTCTGAGAGTTTGTGAGAATCAGAAAAATAGCAACAAAACAAAGGCAGTGCCCTGTATAGTTGCTGTTATTGTTTTTAAAGCTGATCCTATCTGGAGATTCAAAGATATTTAAATCATTTGACACAGTAATCTCACTTCTAGGCATCTAATCCAGGTGCGGCATCTAAAATATCAGGAGTGTTACGTGTGCATCCCTGTCTGATAACATTTGAAGTAGCAAAAACATTCTCTCATCCTAAATATTCAGCCATACAAATGTGATTAGTAAAATATGGTTATGAAAACAGTGCAACATGTGATGGGGGAAAGAGACACACTTGTATATGTTCTGCAATGTTAAACATGTTAAGCTTGTTAAATGTGAAGTTGACAAAAGACTAGATGGTTATATAAAATAATCCTTTTATTCTAGGGGGTGAGGGACTGCAGCGTTATTTTTCTAAAAATCCATTTTCGAAACATTAAACATTTAACACTAACATAAACATTTCAATGATGTGTGAGGCTCTTTCCAAAATTAAATAGTCAAAACTGTGTACCCTACATTTGATTGAGGGCAGGGACATTTTGGTGCATTACCCAGGACTGCTGAGTGTAGGTTTCTTTTGTATTAATTTCAGCTGATAGTTTATATTAAATGTTCGCTGGTGTTGGGCCTCACTTTAAGTAGACCAGTCAAACTTCATGTCAAATCAGATAATGAGACAGACGTGTCAGAAAGTTGCACCAGGATTGGAATCTCTAGATTTCAATTATCTGTGACGTTGAGGTCTGGGAATGGCTGAGCAGTAGGTGAAGATGCAGAATCTGAACTCATTTTTTTTTAAGATTTTATTTATTTGAGAGAGAGAGTTCATGAAGTGGGAAGAAGGGCAGAGGGAGAAGGAGAAACAGGTTTTCTGCTGAGCAGGGAGCAGGAAGCCCAACTAGGGGCTAGATCCCAGGACCTGGGATGACGACCGGAGCCAAAGGTATATGCTTAACTGACTGAGCCACTCAGGTGCTTCAGAATCTGAACTCAGCCCCTTGGCTACTAGGAGAGTCCATTGAGAGGATCCAAGAAGGTTGCTTGGGTGAGAATATTTAGGAATGAGATTGAGAGGAGAGTAGACACATGACTTGATGAGGGGAAAAGGAGAATGTTGTTATTTAACATAATGTGAAAATAGTCAAGACCCAGAGCTGGTATGTGGAAATTAAGTTAACTGTGCAGAAAACCAGCTTTCTTCTCATCAGCAGGCAGTTCAGTTCAGGACTCTCCACGTGGCGACTAGTTTCATCTCAGAGACTAGAGTGTGTTCTCGGTTCTGTGAAGGGGATCCAGGTCTTTTGTTATGTGTTCATTCCCAACCCTGAGTGTGACACCCTCAACCTAGATCACATTGAAAATTAAAAATATCACTAAGGTGTCTGACTTTCAGAAATGGTATGAGATATAATAACAACACCATTCTCATGTCCTACAGGCCAGCCACCTTGTGCGTGGTTAATGGATTTCAGTTCGGCTATTAACTAGAACCCTGGACAAAATTACATAGGCCTTGGAAGTCTCAGCTTGCACATCTGTAAAGCATGGGCAGTAACTGTTTCATAGGGTCATTGGAAAGCGTTTGTGTGTGTGTGAAATGCTTGGCCCAGAGTAAGGGCTTAATAACTAAGTATATTATTGTTATTGTTATTATTATTATTATTATTACCATTATCACCTCATATCGACTTTTTTTTTCTGTGCAAATTGTATCTCCCCTTATAGGTCCTAAGTGACTTGAAAGGCAGTTCTGTGTCCAATGACTTTGTCTCCTTATGATATTTAACACAATGTCTTTTAAACAGTTGCTAGGATCTCAGAGAGGGCAGGGCCGCTGTGGTCCTTGTGTCTAAGATGGGGAGCCTCGGGGCTGAGCCATGTGTGGAGGCGCTCACCTGTGTGGACACTACTCAAGTGGTCCTGCTGCAGTAAGGAAACGTGTGCACTTTGCCTAATTTTCAGAACCGCCTCGACTCTTCAGGGATGCGTGTGAGTTGTGGTGTGTGCATGTGTTTGGAGGCCATATGCATTACAAATGTTAGCCGAAAAGTTGCTTACTGTTTATATTCTGGGCCTGTGAGAATCTCAGAAGAATTTTTCCAGACCATTGATCTCTTGGGATCTGTTTATTTTTAAGAAAGTTGTTTTCCTAGCTTTTTGTACCAAAGCGGATATTTTTCCTTCCAAAGCATGGAGATTTCACAAGTATGTACCCAAGCCAGGTGCCGTGGACCTATTCCCTTTTGGCTGCTCATTCCTGTCTTTCAGTGGTCAGCTGTCACCGTCCCTGCAAAGTGGCAGCCCCAGCATCAAGAGGCATAGGATGTTGTGATTTTTGTCTGGACACTATTGCGTGCTACCAAAAGAAATCCAGGGGAGAGATCAAACTAGAGCCGGGCTTGCAGCAGAAAATGAGCTGTAGTTGTGTGAAGGTGGACCCCTGCCAGGACATTCCTCTCATAGATCTGGCTGCTGCTAAGGGATCAGACGTCTGGAATTTCTCAAAGCAAATCTCTGACCACTGGACCCATCGCATCCTCAGGGATGTGCTTCTGGATTAGAATTACTGTGTGCTTGGTACTAGGTTCAGCACTTCCTGTATTGTATCTCACGGAGTCTTTATAACAGCCCTCTTGGGTTGTACTTTCTATCCGCATTTTATTTGTGAAGAAGCTAAGGTCTACAGAGTTTACTATGACTCGTATTTAATTATTGTGAGAAACACAATCTGGGGACACCTGGGTGGCTCAGTGGTTGAGCATCTGCCTTCAGCTCAGGTTGTGATCCCGGGGTCCTGGGGTTGAGTCCCACATCGTGCTCCCCGCAGGAAGCCTGCTTCTCCCTCTGCCTGTGTCTCTGCCTCTCTCTGTGTCTCTCGTGAATAAATAAATAAAATCTTAAAGAACAAACCAGAGTCTGAGCATAGAGCTGTCTGACTCCCAATTTTATGCTCTTACCCATTGAACCGAGTACATAGAAGATCATAAAATACTGAGGGTGTGAATTCACATTCCATGTCTCACCCTAGTTGCTTAAGAATGAAAAGAAAGGCTCAAAGCAACAGAACCTGCCTTTGATCAATTTAATTGTCTGTTATATCGGGATTGGGCCCAGAGCTATTGCACCATAACTTCATGGGCTCCTTCTCAGTATAAAAGTTACTTCTGTGAGATGTAATTTGGAAGCCAAAGTATTACACTTACTGGATTACTAAAATAGTTAACTCATGTGCATGGCTCAAAATCTAAGAGATTATAAATTGGTTTCCAGTGACACACAAGACTCCCTCTCTCTTATGCCCTCCCACTCCCACTTCCTCCCCATGTCTAAAATATTTTGGTGATTTATGAGCTCACTGGGACAGAATCTTTGAAACCAGGACTTTCCTGGAACATCATGGGTTGTGTAATCTTCTGAAGGTGTACGCCAAGATAGCTCTTCCGTGTATGTGGTTGGTTCAAGGCTAGTTATTTCACTTTCTGTGTTAAAATCTTGAACTTCCTATTGTCTCAGGGCACCTAAATTGCTGCCATTCCCATAATTCCAAATTGTTTTTGGCAGAAAATTTTTATTTATGCTAAGGTCCCAGTTAGCTGGGAATAAAATAGAATGAGATAAAGTAAGAAATAAGATGCCTTGCCTGTTTTATTCTCTTTTGTTTTGTTCAAATCAGTGATGCTCAAACTGGGCTATACCCTTTAGTCACCTGGAGAGGTTAAAAAAAAAAAAGGATGTAGATGCCTGGGTCCTACCCTCAAACAGCTGAATGATTTCTCAGAGTAAGGCCTAGGTAGCTGTATTTTTGGGTGTGATATCTTATGAATTTATACAAGAAACCAAGCAATGTATTAATGCCTTTGACATATTTATTTAGTTGTAAAGCTGAAGAATAATGCTGCATATTTTTCTACCACTAAAATACGTATGGCTCTATGGGTTTGGTAGTTTCCCCTTTATATTCTTTACTTTTTAAAAAGCTGTTTTTTTGAGGTTTAGTTTACATAGCATAACATTTGCTTGTTTTAAGTGTATAGTTCATTGATATTTAGTAAATTTGCAGTTGTGCAACCGTCACCACAATCCAGTTTTAGAACATTTCTATCACCCCCAAAAGATCCTTGTATCTATTTGCGGTCACTCCCTCTTCCCACCCGAGCCCCAGGCAGCCACTAATCCACTTGCTGTGTCTCTTCAGACAGCTGTATTTTTTTTAATTTTTATTTATTCATTCATGAGAGATACAGAGGGAGGGGCAGAGACACAGACAGAGGGAGAAGCAGGCTCCATACACCGGGAGCCCCACGTGGGATTCGATCCCGGGTCTGCAGGATCGCGCCCTGGGCCAAAGGCAGGCGCCAAACCGCTGCACCACCCAGGGATCCCCCAGACAGCTGTATTTTTTAAAGCACGCGAGGTGATTCTGTTGCTCTATAAATGTTGGGGACCCTTACTTTGAACTTACCAGCAGACTTTAGAGACATTAACTATGTCAAGATCTTCTCCTACAGAAACACCTTTTAAAATAAGTAAGGTTGTTCTTTTACTATCATGGGACTCTCAGAATACTTTTGATCCTTATCAAGATGTATATCGTTCCTCTTTTCCACCAACATGTTTTCACTATTGGTTACAGGCCAACATAGGATTGCTCACACAGTTGGTGGAAAATAACCTCTTCCCGTGTGCAGCTACTTCTGTTCATCAATATAGATGGGACTTGTAATGGAAAAGTACCAACAGGCCATCCCAGTGGGGTTGGTGCAATCTTTCTAGCATGGTCTTGAGCTTATTAAACTACGTATCCCGTCTTCTCTTGGAAGAGAGAAACGTGATCATTCAGTGCATTTGGGGGGTCAGAAGAACTTCTCTCCTTTCCTTGATTC